GTTTAGGGTGTAGAGCTTAGGGTTTAGGGCATTACAAGCGATGCGGGTTTTAGAGTTCTCACCCTGTCCTTCTGCCCCTGCTTGGCTTCAGAGCAGCAAGCCGTGCCCATCGCCTTGGTTCAACGAATTGTCGCTCCACGACTCAAAAAACCCCGGAAACCCTGAGGCCGTAAACTCCAAACCTGCAACTCCCAACAAACCCACCTGTGCTGTATCCGGTGGAGAGAACTCATCCCTGGTATTTCTCTTTTTCCATCGAAGCTCGCGAAGCCTGCGCCGAAGTACCAAATAGAGCCCGGGAAGGACGGGGATGGACCTCCTCTGTTTGAGGGCTTGCGAGATTGGTTTAGGGTTTAGGGTTAGGATGGGAACAAAGGTTCATTACTAGACAAGGGCGTTAGTGAGTGCCCTTCACAATGGGGCGTGGGAACGTGGTTTACGGCTACGTAGGAGCTATGGGTCTAAGTTAGGTCTAAGGAGAATTCTTTAGATACAATTGCACAAGGTTTGGGTTTCAATGTTTCTGACGTGGACCTAGGGATCAGGTTTCGGGATTGCAGGCAGGCAGGCAGAAGAAGGAGGGCAACACAGTGGAGAAGCATCGTGATTCAACCCCCTCTCCTTGAAGAATTATCATAACACAACGCAAACAGGCTGCTTGAAGAGTCAGAGTAACACAACACAAAAACAGGATCTCTCCGAAAAACCCGGCACGCCAGTTTGGCAACTTGACCTCGATGATGCTCGACGGTGGAAGCCGAGGCTGAGGCTAGGCGACGCCGGGCGCCAACTACAGAACCCTAAGCAGCTGGGAGGATATGACTGCGACTCTGCAACAGTTGGAGTAGAGTTTGGAAACCTGGGCTTTCGTCTAATCTTTGCTGGTGTCGATTTGTTGTGGGTGGGGTACAAGTAAAGTTGACATCATGGCCTGTTGTCATCAATGAAATAAAGGGCCGCGTTCTGCCTGAGCCAGCGCATGGAAGCATCCCAGCAGATCTCCGTATCGACTTAAACCCCAAACTCGATTTAAACCCCAAACTCGATGCCCCTACACCTCCAGACGCCCTGAAAATCTGATACGAAGACAGAGCTGAACGCCGAAAATCTTGTTGCTGTTGTCGTCGTCACTGCAGTCGCTACAGATATTGTGGACATGGCGTTTGCTGTCGGTGTGGCATATACATCCACCTGTTGCTACTGCTCTTGCTATCATTGTTCTTCTTGTTCTTGGTATTATTAGTGTTCTTGTTCTCATCTTCATGATCATGCTTGTTCTTGTTATTCCTTCGTTGGTCGCTGTCGTTGTTGCTGCTGTCGTTGCTGCGGCTGTTACAGATGCAATAGATGCAGATGGTGCTATGGCCTTGCTTTATTTATTGCCTTTAAAAGCTGTTGTTCGTGCCACTAGTGTAGGACGGGCATCAATTTTGCTCCACGTGTCTGGTGTGCTCGTCGTGGCCGTCCTGCCAGTCCTCCTCCTCCTGCTCCTACGGGCTCTGGTACGAGTGACTTTAGGACGCTTCGGCACAAAGCCACGAAGATTCACAACCGTGGCAGAGATTCAACCTCAAGGCTCTGAAACATCCCCTGAACCCAAAATACCTTTAGCCTGATCCGTCTGTCCCCCAGCCAGACGCCTTTTCTTCGAGGATCCGTGGCATTAAGGTGAGAATCGAAAAGCTCTGAACATCAGCTGGTTGCACACTGGGTTTCCTTGCCTCCCTCATTCCCGATACATCTGGGTACGTCTAGGTTGTTGGGGACCTAAAGCTCAACACAAAAAGCTGAACCTCATACCCACAGCTTGAAATGCGTAAGCCCGAGCTGAGGACACTTTATCCTCGCTCGTGCTGCCCAGGGGTGCACGATGCATAAAAAACTGCGAATTCAGAGCGGCGGCTGCTGAGTTTCTTTAGGGCTTAGGATTTAAGGTTTAGGGTTTAGGGGTTTTGGGGTTTAGGGTTTTGGGGGTTAGGGCTTAGGATTTTTGGTTTAGGGAGTTTAGGGTTTAAGAGAAAGAACGGGCACATGTCGCCCGAGAGCATTCGCGCTCCCTTGGGTGCTCCAATGGTCCATATGCCCAATGATGCCGGCAACCATCTCCCAACCTTCTGCACTGAGCACTATATAAAAATGGGGTCTAAATTAATTACCAATACTCTTCTGAGGTTCCTTTATTACCATTACTATACCCCCAAACCCCGTTCTAATTATTAAGGCCCCCATATCAGTTAGAATCCTTGACCCTGCAATAGGTTCTGGTCCCTGGAAGCACGAGCCTCTCCCGCACAGGTCAGCGCACGCCCTCAAAAAACTGCTCGGACGCGAGATGGCCCAGAGTGGTCCTCTTGGGTTTAGGGTTCACAGAGTAGGATTGCATTCAACCTTTCCCATGAAACCTCTGGTGTGCTAGATCGGTGTTAAGTAATGGTTGTATCTCATGCTTTAAAACGCTACACAATCTAATTGCATTGGGCGAGTCCTGAAGTAATTTCGGAGGCCATCTCGAGCCGCCGGGGGGTCCCCTAAACCCTAAACCCTAAACGGTCATTCTACCCTTGGATGGCTCTGCTTTCTTCCTCCTAAGCGGCAGCCTAATTCTCGCCACAACTACACCCCAGTCACTCCTGCAACCCCAAACCCCAACACCGAAAAAACAACCGAATATGACCAAGCAAAGGGAGCATTCAGGTAATGTAGGGGCCTCAACAATCAGAATAGGGTTTTGGGGGCTCCTTCTTATAATCATGGTATAATATACCCCGAAACGCTGTTCTAATTATTTAAAATTTCGGCCCCGACATTAACCCGAGATCCGGTCTCAGAGCAAACCCCCTCAACTTCAGCTCGGGAGTGTGAAGGAGCGAAGGTCGTCACGTCCGGCGAGACTGCGAAGGGCTCACGACTTCGGCTTCGGGTTTTCAAGTTTTGGGATGTTAGGTTTAGGGTTTAGGGTTTAGGGTTTAGGGTTCGGGTTTCGGGGTGGGGTTTCGAACTATCTTCAAGTTTCGGCTGCTAGACTGTAAGGCTGTCAGTGTACCTTGGTGATTAACTGCTTGCAAAATGCTGACTCAACATAAGTTCCAAGGTTCTGAGAAGAGTTGGCAGGCTGAGGTTGGGCTTTCCTGCGCTCTAGGTCGCGCAAGAACGCCTGCGCGACGAAGGTCTTATGGTTACGACTAGTATAAGTATTACTATAGCATTAGTACTCTTATACCCTAAACTCTAAACCCCAAACCCCCATTTTTCTCATTCTTCTTCCTGGTACTATATCATTTTTGCTCTTATACCGTAAACACTAAATCCTTAGCCCTATATACCCTATTATCCTTCTTCTTCTTCCTAGTGGCTTGGGCTTGCGGCCTCGACGCTTTAGGCTCAGGGGGTTCCGGGGAGAGATGCCGGCAAAACCCACAAATTTCAAGGCTATAGAATTAGTAACTATACTAGTAGTAATGATAAGACTGGTACTAGTGATAGTAATAATAATAAGAACAAGAATAATAATAACAACAATAATCGTAGCAATAATAAAATAAGTACTATTAATAGTAATAATAACAATAATAATGACAATACTACTAGGATTCAGAGCAACAGTGACAGCTGCCCTTGTTGAACCTATGCCCTATTCCAACTGAAGCCTCAATGCTGAAAAAATGTAACTGCACCCCCTGAAGCCGTTCAAAAGAATTTCGGAGGGTTGAACTTCCTAGTCCAGGAGTTTAGGATTGAATGCTGCTCCACCAGTACTAACTTTCTGACTACTAAGAGGAAAAAGCCCCTAAACCCCAATGGGAGTGCATCTTGCCGCATTTTTCAAAATCCATGAAGCGATGGCTTTGCGGAGTGAAGCTCTGTCATCCGGGCAGTCAGCATGCTTCCCGACAGCCCGACAGTTCAACCCGAAAGCTCCAAAGCCTATCAGCTCTAATCCTGGACATCTCCAGTAGCCCAGGAGCTATTCCTTCTATTCCATAATGAAAACTTGGTTTCGAAGAGCTGCTCGCAATCTCAGTGTTCTTCCTGCAGCACTTCATGGCCTGGCCACAATGGGAGGCGGCATGTTCTCGATGGTGGAAGCGACTTCGTGCTTTGTCTACAGCTCCACAGGATACACTGGAAAGAGCCTCAATCGCGAGCGAGCACCCATGCAGCCCTCGACGGCTTCGCAGCGCTGTCGCACCTTAGACGTGAGGGTCCCAGGCGCTGTCTAGCCCAGAGACTCCACTACCCCTTAATTAAGGAATATACCTTAAACTATAATAGGAATCCTAATATGGTTTAAGGTATATTCCTTAACTAAGGGGTTTTGGAGTCCCTGGGAGGCATGCTGAGACGTAAATCTTCCAAGGATGCGACAAACTAGGCGTCAGCTCTGCAACCATCCTGTCTGCGCTGTGAAGGCGTGGGGGGAGAACTAGTTCTAGAGGTGTGTGCATAGGGATGCCAACGACAGCTTCGAGTTTTGTCCCAATGGTGCCCAGTTATTACTGCTGTTATTAGTAATTACGATTATTGCCATTATCATTCGTAGTATTCGTAAATATGTATACTACTGTTATTACTGACACTCATTACTGACACTCTTTCGAGAGCCTTGTTGAAGAGAGCTGATTGGCAGCTCGCCGAACCGAGGTCCTCGATCCCAGCAGCCCTCCATCACCAAGGCATCATGAGAATTCTGAATCCTCACAGCACCAACTGAACCATAACGAATTTGTTGATTCAACTTCCTTGCAGCATATAAAGTACATCGAGCCCCTCGCATTGCACTGTCAAGAAGCACCAAACCCTAAACCCTGAACCCCAAAACCCTGAACCCCAAAAAACCCTAAGCCCCCAAACCCCCAGACCCCAAAACCTTAAAACCCTAAACCCCAAAACTCTAAACCCCAAACCCCCAAACCCCAAAACCCCAAAACCCTAAACGCCGGTTTTGCTTCCCGCCTCTCCCATGAAGCAGTCCCACAGGCCGTATGCAGCCACGGTGAACCTCCGCCCCCAGACCCTCCAACCCAAAGCACACAATAGCGGTTTAGGGTTTAGGGTT